GGGTACGGTACCCGGCGATGCGGGGGCGAGTGGGCGAGTGGCCCAGCACGCCCAGCGCGCCATCACTCTCACCCTCACCCACAGGTCCGTGGGGATGAATGCGCCAACGGGGGAAAGTGAAACAAACAACGCTCCTCCTCACCACAAGCACCGAAAAAAAAGCAACAAAAAACAAAACGGGTTATCTTGTGTGTCCTCATGCACGGCGGCGGCGGCGGCCTGGCGCGCCCGGCAGAGGAGGAGGGTCGCGTCGCTCGCGGGGCGAGAACACTGTCTCTGTCTCTCTCGCTCTGGAGTAAGAGAGCACTGTCTGTCTCTCTCTCTCGCTCCCGCGCGCGCCCCGGGCGGTAAATGATGACTCGGCGGGAAACACTTGTCGTAAAAATTTCTATTAAAGCGGCTCCCGCGCCAGGCCGCGCCACCCCGCCGCATCGACCTGGTAAACAGGGGCACAACGGGTTCATCGACGACAGCAAACAGCAAAATGCGTTTATAACTGCTGGACTTTAAACTTGCAGTTCGTGCTCTACCGACACAAAAAGGAAGCAAGCCGTGACAAAACCCCAAATAGGGTGCTTCTTTTTTTTTAGCTTTAGAAAGGATTTATGACTGCTTGTTCATAGCGAACTGGACCTCCCCATAACTCGGGGAGGTGGGAGAAAAATTCAACATAGAAGAGTGGTAATCATATGCCAAATACTAATACAAATACTTACACAAATACAAATATTTACATCAAAATTTGAATGTTTGAGTTTGCTGATTAACACAGAAAGTCCTACAAGAACAATTAAGCGCAACCAACCCTGGGACTCGAAAGTGTTAAAGCCTGCAGGCGCTGTCTCATTCATTCCATGTCAAACAAAGCCAAATAACTTTACACAGTTATGTCAGTTTTTAACATAACTAGAGTAAACAGCAAGTGAGTTGAATGCCTGGCCACTCGAATGTTTATATTACTGAAGGATCCAACACAAGGAGATGAGCCTTTGTCCCCCCACACATCAGTCCAGTCATGAGGTCATCTTCGCTACATTGCATCTTTGACAGCTCTAGAATGCAAAATATTTGTAGCAGCCTGGGAAGCAATTTTGGGCAAGCTCTAAGCCATGATTCTTAGATCTCAGTAAAGTTGCAAATACAGAACACATCTTGTCCTGAGGGTATGGAGAACAGAACCTACCGTAAAGTGTTCACCATCATAGTAGGTAGAGCTTGCATGGAGAGGTGGGGA